TTTCCTTTCGTGAAATTATAATGTAAGGCTATAATATTAATTTAATTTATATGGCAGTTGTGAAACAATTGAACTTTGAACTATAAGTTTTAGTTCACACTAAGTGAGAGTTCACACCAAGTTATAAGAAAATCCAACTTGGTTATCTACTGGATGAGATGATTTAAGGGAAGAAGTAGATTTCACATTAAAAAAGAGAAAATCAACATTTCATTAACATGCTAAAAGTGTTGAAAAAAACAATGTTATTTAACCCTTTGGCTGACATGCAAGACTATGGTCTTGCAATGAGAGTTAATGTATTTACTCAAATATAAGACTAGGTTGTTTCTAAATGTGTTATTTGAAAAATGCAAGCTAAGCCTTTGTAGATAAGCCTGGTCGGTTATGATTTATGTTTTTATACTGCCTTTCCACATCAAAAAACTCAAATGCTGATATGACAATTAGTAGCAAAGGCAATAAATATCAAGCATATCTATAATACCTTATTATATTCATGGCATCCACTATGAATTTGCAGGGCAATCCAGACCAATCTTTTCGAATAAGTGAGTAAAGAAGGAATCCCAAACAAATGTTACTGATACAAATGAAACTCAATCAGCAAAAGAATAACATCATTGATGAGATTTAGTAATAGGGTGCACTGATCACAAAACCGGGCACACACTCGGATCGATGCCTGAAAAGTGCATGTGTGTTTGCAAGAGATGGAAATGAAAAATTTACATTCATAGAATGCATTCTGCATCCAACCACATATATAGAATATATGTTTTTAAAAAATTTCTCAGCAAAACCTTCCCAAACTTAAAAACTTATCGCCCTCTGCTGCATTACTTGCAAAAGACGGATGGAGGAGTTCACAGTTCACTTCGTAATCATGTGAAAATTAAATAACATGAATTTCAAGTACATGCTGTTAAAGAATGTGAAAACACTATTATGGAATCTGAAGCCATGAACAGAAGGCCAGACACAGGAATCTGGTGATCCAAAAGAAGGCTCATAGAGTCAATGTTCAACAGATGAAACAAACTCGAAGCAGAAAAACTATCAGGGAAAGCCAATAAGACAGAGGATGATGCAGAAAGGTAAGAGGACCAACAAGAAACAGCAATAATTGTGAAAATGAAGATAGTAGAAAGTAAATCATGATTGATGATGATTTTAAGGAACAAGAAAATTGTGATAGCTTTAAAACTCATCAGCAAGATAACTTTCAAGACAACTTGCAATTTTATTTTGGCTATTTATTATGAAACGGTTAAAAATTTCTTAGGTCACCTACACATTTTGGGGTTGTCTTATATTCAGAGAACTTATATTTGAATAAATATGGGGTTGATAGTAGTTGTTTTTTCTCTTTTCTTTCTTTCTTCCTTATAGTCTCCTGCGATGACATTTTTTTGTGTGAAATTATTCAATAATGCTTCCACCTATCTCCAAATTATCAAATTCCTGTTAATCAACATTTACAGATCACTGAACAGTATGGATAAATTACATTTAATTAGCACAGATTACTTCACTAAAGAGTATCAACTAATTTTGGCAGCCTCAGGAATAGTTTAAGAGCGGGCACCATTGTAGTGTAGTACAGTGAGATTATACTTTGTATTCAATGTGCTATGGTATGCATCTACTCAAAGCAAAAATTTACTAATGTTTTAGCTTTTAATTTTCTGACTTATGTAGTTATACATGCAGGAAACCTAAAATAACATTAAAAAATTTTATACAAATTACATCTCATGATATACAAGTTTTTACAGTGATTCACTTTGACACTCAGTTAATATTTAATACATTTTAATAATTATTTTTCCAGATTAGAAAGAAATAACTGTTGCATTATGTAAACCTCAATGTTTTGTGAAAAGTTTAAAGGGATTATAAAAATAATTTTGGATTTATTTTCTTTTACTTTCTTTTGAATGCATCTTCAAGTATTGCATAGTGGAATATTATATGTGGTTCACATAATAATGTGAAAAATAACCTGTAAAATACAGAAAGAATCGTTTAAATATCTCTATTAGTGAGTTAAGATGCATTTTGTTAATCAATATGCAATGAAAATGAACTTTTCCAAAGAAGTAATTAAAGTTGGCATATCTCTAAAATGCCCCTGCACCGTAAGTTACACCTTCTCCTTTCACTTCTTTGTCATCAGTCTTCCTTTTCCTTCCTCTCAAGGACCTCCTCCTGCTTTTGTTCTCTGGTGTTTACTGTTCAATAGATAGTTGTTTTTTTGTTTTTAGATTTCACGTGCTTGCTTGCACTCCCAAAATCACTGCTTGCACTCTCAAAAGTTCCTTCTTTGTTCAATGCGCACTCTCTTTTAAAACTAGTTTCTCTTTAGATCTGACATTGAAGTGACATACAGCATTCATTACCCCTAATTTTGAACTATTTAACCCCAAGTAAGTTTCTTTTGGACATATTTGCCAAACCATACCACTAATGACCCATTGCAATTCCAAGGGAGGGTTGACGGGAACAAGGGAGCACCGACACCATTTTGAAAACAATTTATTGAATCTCTGAAAATATTGCAGATAGAAAAAATGGATTTTACCGCAAGAAAGTGTTGTTAATAAAAAGCCATTTTCCATTATACCAGTCACTTTTGTGAACACATGTACCTTACGGAATAATATCTACGTGGCATACCAGAATGTAACCCAGGTGTGATACGACAGAATTGATGCATCGAGAATGTTAAAATATAAGGAATACATGTAGCATAGTAACAAACTAATAATCACATAGGCATGCCGTACTGGACGCTAGGAACAGGAGCTGTATTGTTGAGGTACGGCACAGCCTGGTGTCATTAACATGGAATTGATTAGGGGAGGGCATTGAAATTTAGCTCAAGCAAAAAGCAAATTCTCATTCTCACAGAAGCAGCAAAGCAGTTCAGATGGTAATGAACATTATGACATATTAATATTGCAATAGTATTTGTATTGCGAGTGAATGTTTGTTTGATAAGTCCATTATAGTGTGGGCTAAGCATTATTGTTTATTTGGGTTTTAAATGGGTAATGTTTGCATATCTTTTAATGATAGTTACATTTGTCATCATGCAGGTGTGTGCAGGAAGATATTTCCGTAGTGGGAAATTTTAAATTGTTAATTTAAAGGAAATAGAAGCCTCAAATAGAGGTTTTACCCGAAGTTTAGTGAGGGAAAGTCGCGATGCAATTACGTAAAACTGATGTAGGATTTTCCAGACAGTATAATTAGCAACAGTTGGGAAACATTTATAGTTTACATGGACAATATGTTCATAAACCACACCCCAGGAGACCCAGGACATTCAGTGGCATCGCACAAACCAAGAAGACATTCTGTGAACTTACAAACTTTATCAAAACTGTACGGTTTAACAGTGTTAAAGGTCATAGAATCATTAATCAATAACAAGCTCGAAACATGTTTTAGAATTTTACAATAAATGTAATTTGTTGTTTGAAAAGGAAGGCTGTTATTTCATTGAATTGCGAGGAATTGTGATGTCTGAACACTGTCACACATCCATGTGTAACAGGTAAGGTGACGTTATGATGTACATTGAAGATTTTAAAGAAAAACAGAGCTAGGCATATTATTGAATTGAATTAATGTCTTATCTTACGTGGCAAAACTTGGGCCATCAGGCCCGCTCTTCCGTCTGACCACGCAAATTTCGCTAAGCTCCTTTCCACCAACTAGCAGAGAAAGAAGGTATTTCTTGGGTGAGAAAAAGGCGTCATTTACGCTTGAGAATCTTTTACATGCAAGTAAATCTACTAACTCGGGACAGCCGACTTCACTTCCCCTCGGAAAGAAGGAGTACAAAGAATTTTATCACCCTTAAAAATCCACGGCTTCGATCGGGTTTGAACCCGCCAACTTGGGTATAACAGTCCGATACGCTAACAGTTACACATCGCCACACGCGCATGAGTTATTAGAGCAATTCATTTACGAGCATAGCAGGGCAAATTTTATTAGGAGGATCATAAAAATGTTACAATGGTTACAATAAGTTAATACCAAGTTAATGAACATAACAGAATGTCTGCCCAACGCTGGGCAAGATAAACATAAGGAACACTTTATATTAGCTTTTAGAATTGTCTGAAACATTTTTCAGATCAATGAAATGGACAGACTTCTGCAGTAAATGGCCACCCCGTCTATCGCAGAGAGGAAATGTTACCAAGCTAACCTAGCCACTTCCTTTTGTAACTACCAACTTTTAAAATCCAATCATGAGATGAACATTCCATTAGGCCCCTAGGTCAGTTTCAGAAGATATTTAGAACAGGATTGTATTTTTTTACTAGTTTACTTATATTTACATGATTTTGTGTCAACATACAAAATTTTAAAATGCTACTAAACTAATAGCACTACAGGAATGAAATATACAGTTTATTATGTAGAAAAGATGTCTTTGTTTAATTTTGAAACAAGTTAATTTACAAATTGTCTAGGGCGTTCTCCCAAGGTAATACATAAATGATACTCCCAGGCAATGATATTGTGAAGAACTTTGGTCTAACTGACAAGGAAGTTAAGTCACTAGTGAACCCCTAATTTCTTTGATGCGTCTTAGGAGCCTCCTTGGCAAAGCCACTTTGACATCATAAAAAAGTAATAAAAATTGAACTTACAAAGGACAAAAAATAAGTATTTTAAAAAAAATTCTATTAGTAGGAAGCTTTGTCTATTAGAAATAGAAAAAACTCTGAAACAAAATATAAAAATTTATTTTGAAAGAAATTTAATTAGTAATATCATTAAATAAGTCCTTAATTTATACAATGTTTTGAAGAATGTTTATTATAATTTGTTAAAATATTGTTTATTTAATTCATTGCCAACCTCTGGAACTGCCTTTGCTCTCTTAAGAGTTAAATGAAAGTAATCATTAAAAATTGGACGAAACTTTATATAGATTTTAATACAAATTGTTACATAAAAATAAGGTAGGGACATTTTGAACATTCATAAACATTCAAAACACACTCATGAATAACATATTACAAAAATATTGATTAAAGTTAATTTTTCATTAACCTCCTGTCCTCTCATTCATTTTAATCACATGTGAGCCCTGTCCCTTAAGGCGTTTTGTAACAGCCCCTTAACTGTCAGCTATCCACCTTTTGATCCAACAACCATAACATCCACTAGTATCTTACAATTGGGTCAAATAGTATTCTGAAATTATTAGGCAATTTAAACAATACAATTTTGAAGAAAAAACTAATACAAGTTTCTGACTAATATAGAATGCCATAATTCTACTATGTAGGTGCATACAAATAGGATACCCCCTTATTTTCCAATTTAATTAAGTATGCTGAACACAAAAACCTTTTCATAACTACTCCCCATACACCAACTCAAAACCATCCATTGCAAGAGCAATGAAAAACTGATTAACTATTTACAACAAATTAAAGAAAAAACACTTTTTACTCCTAATACACTTGTTTTAATAAATGGATTACAAGTCATAATTCTACATTCTCTCCAGTATACGTTTGTTCCAAATTAATGCATTTCTCAATGGCAATTCCGCAAATCTACGAGATAAAAATTATACATAAACTAATATAATAGAAAAATATACACATTAACAGGAAATGCACAGGAAAATTTGAAGCTTGTTTTGTTCAGAGCATCAACGTACATAAATGCTAAGTCTTGTACTAAAAGGATCAAATTGTGTAACATTCCATAACATACAAATCACTATATATATTCACTAAACAAATATTAAAAACAATATTCAAATTTAAAATATATCAAACAATACAGAGAACATCACTTGTGAGATACATGCAAAGTTGCAAAATGAATAAAACAATTTGAATTTTCAGTGTGCTAATAGAGAAAAAATAGGCAAGTATTGATATAACGGAGAAAATGTTTTATACAAAAATTAATCAGCATTAATATTAAACTTACATTATCAACAAGTAAATTATGATCTAGAGATATTTTATAAGTAGGTATGGGCACAAACTTGGGCAAAATCATAAGCTACATATTTAAGAACAAATATTTTAATTAAACAAACTTTCACTGGATTCACTGGATAACTCATGTTTCCTGAAGCCCACAAAGCACCGGTTTACAAACAATGACATAAAAAAGAGAAGATATATACAAAATATGTAGTGTTTTTTGATAAAACAGGGACTCTTAAGACAGATTACAATAAATTTATTAGTGTTAATCACTTAAAAATCCACAATCACTAGAGTCAAAGGAAATAAAACAGCAAGATTAATAATTAAATCTTTAAGGATCTATTAACTTGCAGAAAAACAAAAATCAACAAATATTACTTCATTTATAACGTTACAAAATACAATTAGTGGTTTCGGAATATTTTAAGGAAAACCATGCAAAAAAACATGCCTGCCAAATATTCTTTGTGTAAGAAAACGAATACAATTTAACAGAAAAACTGCTGGAAACAATATTACACCACTACGATGTATAGGTATCTTCAACTTAAAAACACACACACACACAAATGAAATTATGAGAAGTTATCCAATCTTAATTTTTGATATTAACAAAGCGTTTGAAATGAACAAATAAATCAGATTATTTAGGTTTAAATCATTTTTTATTCAAATAAGATGTTTTAAAATTGATATTTTACTTTAAACCAAAATCGTTAAGTGATTTATTTATCCTTAATTACTAAAAAAGCAGAAAAAAGTTTATGCCACCAGTTTTTATTAAATTATTTTTCATCATTAAAGTTTTGTAATTTTATAAAAAATGAAAATACTATCTCTTTGAAGAGGCTGGAGCAATGCCACCCCAATTGCGTCCCCATTACTGAATAGGCTTGTGGCACCATCTATTAGTACGATTTAGAAAAAAAAGGCATTTTTCGTTCAAACAAATTTTACCATCTCTTTTGTGCAATTCTGCCCTAATTAAAAAGCACTTATTATTGAAAACCAACGGAACTCATAGAAAAACCTGTAACTAGGAGTGGATTTTGATGACCTAAGAGATTGCCAAAAATGATCATTAAATGCTCTTAAAATGCCGTAAAAATAAAGAACAATGACGGAAGAAACAATGAATAAAAACACTTCAAATCAACTACTCAAGCTATTGGGTGTTACTGATGTAATCCAGGCTTCTTCCTTTTGTTAAAATAAACTCAGTCTGCAAACTTGATTGTGTGTGTGTGTGTGTTTTCTTCCTTAAAGAAAATCTCTGCCTTTATTTATCACAAAAACAACTGAACTGACAATAGGCATCACAGGAACCTTAGATTGCATAGTACTCACAACAGGTGACATTACAAGATATGAGTGAAGAAATTTAATAGGCTACTCAAGAATTCAAAGGTTAACATTTGTGGCACCTCGTAAATATTGTTTGAAGCAAGTACCATTAAAATGATATTAAAACAATGAAATCAGCGAAAAGTGCATTAAAAATGACGAAAAAGTAAAAAAATGACTTATTAGTCTAAATCGACAAAAATGACATAAAATGGGTAATTTTGTTTCGTCATAACATAAAAACTTTCTATACTTAATAGCATTGTCCTAAAGCACAAAGAAAAAATATTACATTTCATTAAAATCCGCCACTACTTGTAATAATGTTAGGCAGTTAAATACTTTAAACCAAGTAATTTTTATTTTACAAATATTTAAATATAATGTAGAGAATCATGATATTTAATACAAATATATTTTCAAATATTACAAATAAATATTGATTTAAATTAATATATATATGAATATTATATATATATATATATATATATATATAATATATAATATATTTTTTATTTAAATCACTCAATACAATTTTATACTCAATAGTGACATTCTCAATTATAATATTACAGAAGTTTCAGGCAAGTGTTTATACCTTCAGCTAGTTGATAAAAGCCCATAAAATAATTTGACTCATATTTGAATGGGGTAATTTGAAAACTACTTTCTAGTTTTTCATTTGTATACAAAATAAATAATAACACAAATTTTGAGTTCTCAGTATTTTTGACTCATCTTTACAATGTTTTAAATACTTAAAAAATTAACTCGATTAGTATGAATGAAGAAGAAATCGGGTAAGCACGTATGACAATCGTCCCCAACATTCTCATCAAGTTCATTTTTAATATTTATTAAATTTAATTTTCGCCAAAGATGACTATGAATAGAATCACTGAAACATTGTATGTCATGACTTGGTGGTGAAATAAACCAACTTTCCTCATGTTTATTTACTGAATTCTAATCTTTAATCTGATTGTTTTTTAACAAAACTGAAGTTTAATACAAAATTCCACTTAACAACATTCATTACATCAATTTTCTTACTCGGAACAAATATTTCAATATAACTGCATAAAAATTATAATTCAACCAAAATTTGGGAGAGAAAAAAAAATCAGAAATTATTGTAACTTAAGTACCAAGAATCTTCAAAATGCTCTCCAAATTATAATTTAAAAAATGTTTTTAAGCATATTGATAAACCTCAATACTTTTCTTTGGACAATACAATTTCTGAAACTTGAGTAATCACTTCTATTTGAACATAATTGAAATATCAATCCCCTGGGCTGACCATTCAAAAATGGTCAGCATGTGGGAAATTTTAAACTATTAAAAGGTTCAGTAATGAAATGAAAAGACAAATTCTATTCAAAATAAAACAAAAGTATATATAAGATTATTTTAGTTTTATTCTCTAGATTGCAAACATTACCATGAAAAACAATATACATCTAATATTTGTTTAGAATTAATCATATATGCTGAAAAATGTCCTTAAAACAGGAGAACATATTTTGTACTGTATATACATTACAAATCATCTGTGACAAAACTCCAGACTACCTAACTTGTAAGGAATATACATTCATAAATGTGAATCTTTATAAAGAATCTACCAGAAGAGTAAACTTTTAGCCTGGTTTCAAGAAATTTATTTTGAGTTTGAATTAAGCTGAAAAAGAATTCCCTACCAACCACAGTTCAATATCTGATCCACTTGGTGGTAAATTCATTTCAGACTACCTACATGAAAAGCAAAACAAAAAGAAAAAAGCACAATGCAATGGCAAGTATAAAATACTAGGTGAAGCCTTTTGAAACAAAATATTAGAAAACTGCTACAAAATTTTTCTTCTCAGTAATCGTGAAGTTTGTGTAGGGGAATACCCAAACTGCAAGTACACAACTTTCAAGATTTGTTTCCAGACCATACTAAAAAACACAAATCACTGTTTCCAAGAATTGTAGTACTTTCCTGGGAATGTAATAACTTAAGTATCCTATCAAATTGCACTCTCAAAAATGCACAACACATTTGCTCCACCAGTATGATTCAAACTAATCAACTTAATGCCATCCCGTAAAGTGTTTTTGCACAGTACTATGTTTTAGTATAAATGGATTTAACTAGCCTTGTGAATAGTATCAGAATCCTTCTTGGTATTGTCTCGTTTCCATTTTAGCTTGAAGTAATTCTAGTTGTCTCTTAGCTTCACACTGAGGGAAATTATTTAGATCATAATACTGTGGAGCTATTTTCAACAGCCATTCCGCTGAAATATAGATAAAAAATGTATTAAATGTCATCAGTTATTAAACACATTTGGTACAAGAACATAGTATCATCACCATTTCAGGGATAGAATACAGTAAAATCCAGGAATGTCCTTATCAACTTTACTTTCAAAATTACAGGTAATTAATATTTAGAAAACAAATTAACATGTGGCTGCCTAAATATTGAAATGTTTTATGTTCTGATAAAGGACTGTTCATGTGCATCATAATAAATTTTCATTTCACTCTAATTTTGCTATTAAACCAGTTTGTATAAATTAGAAGTTCATAATCCTTTATCAAAAAACCCTTTTAGTACAAGGGTCTTTCCAAATTTCTATTTCTTGACATTGATTTTTCGCAGCAATAAACAACTTTCTCTATATAAGAAAGAAAAATAATCTTATAAATGGTCTGTATTATACATCTTATAATTTATAAAATCTTATACATATATGCATAGGATAGGAATAGTTTTAAAAACTGTCAATGACTATTTAAATTTAAGTGACAGGAATATCAACCCTAGCTCAAGTTTGCTTTCTAAGGCACAGTAACATGTGAATGCAATGGCAAAACTAAGTTTCCATGAAGTTTTTCAATTGGGAATTACATTTTATTTCTTAGCAAATCCATTACAAACATCACATTTCTTTAACATTCTCCCAATAATTCACCAATAAATAGAATAGAATTGCTTTCTTTATGGAGTTAGTACAATGTGCATTTATTGAAACTATAACAGACTTTCTTTACCAGATCCCTCTTAGTTTTATTTTACTCTTTAAAAAAATTGAATATGTTAGAAATTATAACTTTTTTTAAGAATATAAGAGTTACTAAATTCTATGGACTCCTCTAATTAAATCATGTTTTGCAGCTACTTATGTTTTATCACAGAGTCGACATAATAGACCGCAGTTCAAAGCCACTCTTAAGTATTTATCAATGAAAGTTAACGAAGTTAACAAGTATCAATGAAAGAGGTTGGAGAAATATCAGTGAACACTATCTTAACAAAGACATTCATTTTAACAAACTTTTTATACTAATCTCTTAGTAATGTGCAAGTTGGTAAAAGTAACCCATAGTATGAAAAAATTTGCTTTAACTTAAGAGCTAACGAGTTAAACAATGATTTTTCTCACCTTAAACAAGTAACAAGTCTTAACTTGTTATTTTCAAACATAAAATCATCAACATCAAGAAGACCTTACACTTACGTTTTATGTCTGTGACTGTCCTGATGTAATTTTTAGTTGTCAACACAAATTCGTTGTATATCACCCATTCTGGTTTATGATCTAAACACGTAGACGGATGTAGTTGTACAACCTGGTTATCTTTAATGGTGAGGTAGTGACCAGTCCGTTCTAAGTGTGCAACCTGGAAAAAGGAATATTCATCCAATTGGCATCCAGAAACTTTTTAAGATTCTTGGAAGTACACGAGATACTATGTAATACTACTACTACAATACATTACTACTACTACTACTACAATAAATACCTCTGATAATGTACTGTATTTTGTAGAGCACATATCAACATTTACTAACATACCACAAATCTTTCTTTTTGAGAAAGAATCAGGATGAATTCTTACTTCAAAGATAGTCATGAAAGGAACTATATTCTAAAATGCCATTTAAAGGTGGAAGAAAAAAAGTTAACAAACATCATATATTAGCAGAGACATGACAGTCGTGCAGTAGAACCACAGCCACACAATTCCAATATTGATTGTTAACATTTCATTATTCTTTTTAATAAAAAAAATCAGATGTTTATTTATTACATTATTTGCTTACAAATTTTATGTTAAATAAAAATGGATTAAACTACACATTATCACATCACTCCTTAGTATTTTTTAAGAATTTATTTATTTGGATTAACCCTTTGCACTCCATTATTGAGTGGACTCAACATTAAATAATTGCCCTTGCACTCCACTGTCAAGTCAGACTCAACATACATTTATCATTCTTCTCAGAGTTAAGATGAGAAGCTCAACAGGATGCTCATTAATGTGGAGTACACATTAATGTGAATTTAAACAAGATGGCAGAAACACAGGGTTCACGAATTGGGAGCACAAAGGGCTGAATAATAAAATTTAAAATATTACAATTAAACCACAAGACAACACCAATTTTCATTATTTCTATTAAAAATCCAAGAAAATTGTGCTTTGATAAATTTTTCTCTCACCTGCATAAAAAATCCTGACACTAGAGCTTTCCTGATGTTGATGTAGTAATCCTTAGAAGTGAATTCTGTAGATGTCCTCTTCAAACTAAAGCGATCCATAATTCGTGACAACTGCTGCCTTACATTATCGCCAGATTTCAGTGATCGGTAGTTGACAAAATTGTCATAACACCACTGGGGATCCTCCGTATCTGAATTCAAGAATTCATAATTGAAAAGAATTCTAACTATATTTTTGGAGGATAAAAATGACATTAACATTACATGGTCTAATTTCTTTTTTAAATGTCTACAAAGATTTAATTTGTAAATAATCTAATAATTATTAAAATTAATTAAAACACTTGCAATAGCCAATGTTCAAATTGGCACACCTAATATTTTACACATGGCAGTTCATTTCACCCACAACTCTCTACCAATGGCTTTATTACTTCATGACAAACGATAACCCTTACTTATAATTTCAATTACTTCTAATTTCTTTCTTTCTTAATTTTTAATTAAAAAATTTGCTGTTCTCGAACAAGGCCAGGACAAAATGCCAAGCTTGACTTCCCAAAGTGTAACTCTGAAAGGGCAGTGTTGATATTCAGAGACAATTTAAAACGTGACATTTACACATTACTTGATAGGCAGGATTCTAACAATCTGGTTTAGTAGTGTGTTCACATGGGAAGGAAAATCAACATACATGAATATAAAAAACATGAGTTTTGAGTCTGAGAAAATCTAAGATTCATTATAAAAATTATGAATATTTCCCAAACAAATGATCTACGCATTATATTAAACTCAAAAATTCCTTAACTGCTGTAGACTTTTTACAGTCATTAAAATACATTTCTTTATTTGATACAGAGTAAATAGGTCCTATCATGGAAGACTTTTACCTTGCTGAATGTATTTTGACATGTTTGCCTATCAAATAATTATATTATAATTCCTACAACATTATTAAAACAAAAACCGAAAATAACCAAACTGCACCTTCACAAATCACATTTCAGTAATACTGCCATATTAATCAGAATGTATACCATTTAATGCCACAGGATGTATCTTCATTATTTAATTAAAATTTATCTAAATTTTGGTTAAAATCATTTGCAAGTTTTTGTCAGTGCATTCAGGAGTACTACTTACTTCTTATCAAAAATTTTCAAAAAGTATTTGCTTATGGAGAGAATATATCACGAGTAGTAAACCCATTTTTGTAAGAAACTCCAATTTTCACTTACTCTGTTTAAACGCATGGTACACATTGAGCAGGGTAAGGTGATCGCCATCGATGTGCGCGAACCTCATCTTGGCATCGTCTGCAGCCTTCTTGGCCTCGTTGGGCCGCACAAAGCACTGTGGGACTAAACAGTGGAGGAGAGGGGGGAGCCCGCATCCAACCAATTTAGTTGCGTCCACACACATCGCACTAGCAGCAAATGCCAGTGAATCTGTTTCAACCTAAGGGAGCTACAACAAGTTAGAATCTTTTCTTCTAAAGAGGTAACAATGGTTGCTAAAAGGAGACTTTTCCAAACATTCAATTCATGATCAGTATTGAACGTTTAATTGTTTACTATCTGATAAACAAGAAAATGTCAAAGGTAAAATCCTTCGAGTAGTCAGACACTTGTAGATGTACAGGAATCCAATACCAGCTTAACCAATATGATTGCAATCATCACTAATCACTAAAAACATGCGACACTCTGTTGTCAATGAAAATTTAACTTCCAGGAACCTGCTACTCACAGAATCGACTTCCAGCAAGCCAACTGTTCAAATATAACTAAATAGTTCATTCCATACGTAACAAGGGATTCCAAGAAATATTAAAGAGAAAACATACTTGCAAAAAAGCTGAACACTACATTGCTCTCCACTTAATCAACAAACATCAGCCTTCATTCCAAAAGGTACTACGTCTCTCGGATCTCAGAAACAATTCCCTGAATATTAAACAGCATAATTAAGAAGGCTATTGCCCAAACAAGTGCTAGCTTAATATTATCACACTATGACATAAAATTAGAGATCATATACATGCAGAACTGCTAAAAAAACAATCATTCCGAAGTAATGTTACTATCAAAAGTCAGTGACGCAGTTACATTAATGCCAGTACTACCTATTTCTCACCATTTAAGCATGATCACGTCCTTGTACATCTACAAATACCACTACTTCTGCAAAAGATTCTAACTTGTCGCTGCTTTTAGCATGTTCTACATTGAAATAACACAGTATCATTAGCAAAGATCTTCACATACAATGGGTCAAACAAACAGATACAAATCCACTTAAGTTAGTGTAAGAAAAATCACGTGTGAACAGAATATTGCTTAGTTATCCAGAAAAAGGAAAATTGAAATTGTAACTCTTTGAGCTTGACCACCTGAGTTGAAAATTATAACAATCATGAATATGTATTGTAGAACATTTAATAAAGCTAAAGGATCAAGCTATGCCATTGAGATCCATCCAATGTTATCTGACAACATTCGGTGATGGACAAAATTTCATTGAAGCAATTGTGATTAAACTGGCAATCAACATTTTTGCTAACTGAGGATCCAGAGGAAATTCTGCCATAACAGCACCAAGATCTGTCAAATTTCCATCATCATCCAGTGCTGCTAAATAATTTAATAGCTCCAATGCTCTCATCAAAGTTTCCGGGGCTAAAACAAATAATATGGTATTAAAAATTAGTCCCAAAATTGTTTTCTCGACTATTCATTTATCAAATTATCTTGATTTCAGAAATTAACCAACTCACGAGTCTTAAAGCAAAAACATTCTAAAAAACATAATTCACATTATTTCTAAAATTGTTCATTTGATTTTACTGTATTCCATCTGCAATTTGGACTCCTTATTAGAACATCTACATAGCAAGTTTTGCAAGGGTCCAACATAATTTGTGATTACTCGTCTTCTTGTTGTAAATTAAGAATGCCAAATTCATCTCCCTCACACAATTATACCAAAGTGGCAGCTACTGTCATGATTTGGTCACTAAAATTTGATAGTTCATGCAGATGCTTGTATTTTGTATAAGGTAATTAATAAGTAGCCTATTCCATTTCTTCACCCACGTATTGAAACGTCAGCCATTGTGAGTATTATGAAATTAAGATTCCTGTGACATTTATTGGCACTGTTGTCACGTCAGCCAATTTTGCGATAAATAAAAGCAGAGACTTTCTTTTAAAGAACAGTCTTAACCCAAAGTTAGCAAGCCGAGTCCACTTTAACAAAAGGAAAAACCCTCAATTACGTCAGTAACATATTCAACAGCTTGAGTTGTTCATCTGAAGCGGTTTTGATCAATTTTTTTAATCTCCTTTTTCTTTGTTTTTATGGCATTTTTAAAGCACATAAGAGCATTTTATTGATTTTCGGCTATGATTTAGGCCATCAAAATCTGCCTCTTAGTAATTAATAATACGTTCAATTGTCCAAAAGCGTGAACTTAGTTTATCCTTAATGAACCAACATACGCACGGAGGTTTAATGGCCAGTTCAATATCCCATATCATAGTATGGCTTTTATGCTCCAGTCACAAGAGACTAGACTTAAAATAGTGCAAGTTTTCCTTCTTTAAATTCTTCCACATTTAGAACTTTTAAACATATTGCTAATGCTGTATATATTAACGACTTAATTTTTGTAACTATCATGAATTAATACAATTATATTTGATCATTTTCTGCAAAATTTGGGCTATATGTTTTTATGTTGGCTAATGGCCAACAACAAAAATAAAATACTCTGTTACATACACTTCAAGAAATAAAATATTTCAACAAAAACAATCTTCATATATACTTCAATAAACAGAGAAAATAGATGCAACAGTTCTTTACATACCAAGAATTTCAAAAAATGTCTGTTTTATAACGCAATAAGTGAATAGCAAAACTAAAACGGCAAATTGCCTCTTTTTGTGGAGCCTTGATGTCGCAGCACATCAACTGTCCAGGAACAATGAGACACTGAATATGAGAATTCAGTCAGTTCAACAATATGCAGAATAATACTCTAATACTTGCATTTCTTCATTAAAAATTGGAACCATTTTGTGGATTTTTGCCAGATTACAGAGTGTCTAACAAAAGCAGGCACCTCACAAGTCCAGAGGCCACAGTTTTATTTCAATTTCTGCATGCATTGAATATTAGTGATAGAGATAAATAAATGTTAAATAATTCAATATGGTTGTTATAGAAGCGGTGCAGTTGAATGGTAAAATATGTTTTTAACGACACCAAATACTGTACTGTATGTTCAATATTGTATATACACACTGTCTAATTTTTTGTGCAGTAACTCTGCCTCCAATAACCTAGCTTTTGTACAGTAAATATATCTTAAAAATACTGAATCTACAATAAATCATACTGTATCTGAGAATGTGCACACACACACACATAGTATTCATTTAATGTCATTTTTTTTGGCAAAAATCTAATCTGGATTATTTAAGGTATTCCAGCAATCTGCTGGTAGAGTGGAGTGCAGCATTCACTTACTCATAAATTACCCCCACTACTTGCAAAATACGTAGGATACCAACGATGGAATTCACTCGCTGTTTCACCATGCTAGTGTGTAATTCTTGTGAATTTTTTCTTCTTTTATCCTGATTTTACATTTTGGTTTGTGCACATTTGAGTTTTGAAGATGCCGAGCTTCAATTTAACGCAGTTATTGGCAATTGTCTTAATGGAATAGACTACTGGGGTGGTGAAACTATTCAATGGAAAAGCAGGGCCCTTTTTGTGCAACATGACATGCTGCTCAAACTGCAAATTATTCCTTTGGAATATCTTCATGCCAGAAAACCAACATGGAAGTCATGGAGGGTGATGGCTCTTAGTGGCCACCACACTGAAAACTATTTTTTTTAATTGTATGCCCAGCTGTGCCCAATATTTTAGAATTGTTTTCATCAAAATAACATCATGGCAGTGAACCACTTCCTTCATAAAGCTTGTAGCTATTCTACACATGAAAGATGTTGAATTGTTCGCTACTTCTGTTATGAATATGCCTTAATAATCTTAAAATACCTATTTACTTCACACATTTCCATCCGTATGATGTGTCGTCACTTTGGGTTTTTTTAATTGGTACCCAAGTGAGTGGGTGTCTTCGGACATGTGAACATTACGCTTCAATCATAACCAGAACATTAGAATCTCCTGGATTTCTTACATCAGATTAATTAATGCTTACTGAACTTGACATCAAAATGTATTAAAACTATTGATCAGTTAACAAATCTTCATACATACCTGGAGGGTCCATGAAGTCAAAATGAACTAAATCATCAATGCCAAGCTTTTTAAGTTGTAACACGACTGATCCAAGATTTGATCGTAAAATTTCTGGGTAGGTATTGTCCTGCATTTCTTGTTTGAATGCCTTTTCTGTATACAGCCGGAAACATTTACCAGGTCTTGTTCGTCCAGCACGACCAGCTCTTTGTTGTGCTGAGGCTTTACTAATGGGAGACACTAAAAGGGACTCGACTCTAATGCGGGGATTGTACACCTAAAACAAAAGTAAATTTTTTATTTAATGTTGTAAAGAAATCCTACTTATAATAGATTAACAGAAAACTTAAGACATCTGTAAAATTCAGATCGTAGTAATATTAAAAGGTTGCTTAAATTACTTTCATAGAATAATTGTTATAATGTTCAATAACAGAATTTTAAGAAATAGGTATCAAAAGTTTTAAAAAAAAACATTAAAAAAATTTAGTTTTAATAAAAATTTAATTAATGTTTGCCATTCCTAGACCAATCAGACATTCTCATTTATCCAGACATTTACTCCTTTCTATGCTTTTGTTCGAGGTCCAGGTAGAATTTTTAGAACTCTTGAAATGTCCTCCTTTTGTAACATGCTTGTCGGAGAGCATGATATTTCAAATTATTTGTATTGACTCCTATTTACACTAATATGTCTATAGGTGTCAGCCCTATTATCGGAACATCTCTTTTCTCAGTGAGATTTGAGAAGTTCACTCATTCTTGTTCTTAGTACTTTTGTGAAATGTTGGCGATTCTGTCGAGGAAGGAAACGCACATGATTTTTGTTTTGCTAGACGCATATCTGCTAAAGATATATTGTGATAGCTAAGCAGAAATGCAAGTTTAACTATGCCTAGCTAGCAAATATCATGTATTCCAAATGTAAAGGAAGGATTCTGAAACTGAATGCAAAATGTGTGTACCTAGATCTTAAGTCTCTATTTTAAATAAAGATGTTTTTCAATTTGGAACAAATCCTACATATGGTTTAGGTGCAAGAGGTGTACACAGACGTTTTGCAATCAATTTATTTTACGGTATAAAGGACCCACAAAACAGGAATTCTGGCTACACCACATGTTAAGAAGATTTGTTTCTTAATTTAGTAACTGTATTTATTCACTTTTTCCTTATCAGGGACCAGCAATTAACTTATTCTGCCCAAAATTCACTGTTTTTCACACAGCATTACATAACTTTCTCTATACTACATATATGAGAAAGTAAAAATGTACTTACTTTCTGTTTTGCAAAACCAGGATCAATTACAAAAACAACTCCATCAATTGTCAGAGAGGTTTCAGCAATATTTGTAGAAACAACAACTTTGCGACCAATGGCACCATTGTGTTTGTTCGGAGGTGCAGGTTCAAAGATGCGCTGCTGAAGATTTGGAGGCAGAGTTGAATATAAAGGAATGCACTTAAGTTCACCAACTTCTGGGCCTAGATTATCAATTTCCCTCTTTATTCTTTTACAAGCTTCTTCTATTTCCTGAAGCAAACAAAAACAAAATTGTCTTAAATGATATTATACTGATTTGTGAAGTCAATTACAACTTTAAAAAAATCTTTCAGTAAGTTACTGATGGATCATGAAACACATTGAAAAAATTACATACATACATACATAAAACACAAAAAATATAAATATCCTGTTGATGAATGTTAATTTTTAATAACATTGACACTATTATATTTCAAAATGTTTTATAAGTTGGATCTAGGCTACACCCAAATGAACACCCAAAGGAACGTATTAACAGAACATCTGATGGAATTAAATTCATCTGAAGCAGATCACAGGCATACCCAAAAAGCACAATGTAATTGTGAATGCATTTAGTGATCCCTCGGATTAAGATGCAATTAACTCTCTCCCAAAGATTCTCAATCAATTGGAACAAAGTTTGAGTTTTTCCAAGAAAATACTTCATATATTATAAAACGTCCTTTGCAAAATTAAATGTAAATGAGATAGGGGGAAGTGATTTGTGAGGGAAATACTCAGCAACATAAGAGGTGCAGCAAGTTACCATTACAAATGTGAGGTGACATGCCAGTTTGGTGTATTTACAGAAAATTAGAACAATATTACACCTTTTTCATTCCAATATCTTAATATAAAAGTATATTAGCATACGTACCTCTTGCCCAGTTAGGAACAATAGAACATCTCCAGCAATTTCCTCACACATGTGAATTTGAATCACTGTTCGAATTGCCGCTTCAAGGTAATCTCTTTCTGGCTCAGGAGTATAGAATATTTCCACAGGATGTGTTCTGCCAGGTACATTCATTAGTGGGGCATTATCAAAATATTGCTGAAAATATAAGCATTTATGTAAAAATTTTCTTAGGTTAGCTTCAATTAATTTACATTTAAAACTGCTGACAAATACTTCTGTAACGTACCCAAACCTGACAAAACTTCAATTTACAAATTCTTAAGACATATACCCTTTATCTCCCTGCATCAATTTCTTTTCAATAGAAAAAAGTTTTTTCTTGCTTTAATATCATGAAAGTAACTTCTTTTCTCAACACCTACTTTAGACAAAATCTACGAGATGTGAATACTTTATATCAATAAAAGGGTATTTTTGCTCTCTGCTTGGCCCTACACAAACAACACTAGCATCTACAATTTCACAGGATTTTCTCCAAAACAAATATATAGGCCAACCAATCTGCCAACACTGACACCTTGCAAATTTGAGATGGATTGTTTAATTTTGGAGCATGTTAAACACAAAGCCCCAACACTTGCAAAACTTTCCCAAAAATCCCTCCAATTTTTTTGTGTATACGTCTCCTTTCTTTTAAACCTCTGAATATTAATAAATTGAAAAATTTATAATTTTTTTAATGCCCTCCTAAAACTGCATTAAAAATTGAGACTTCCTCAATAAAGTCTGATCTTCAAAATAATATCTTTAAACAATGTTATCTACAATTTTTTTTTAATATTACTAGTTTCATGTAATTTAGAGTGAAATTGTGATTTAAGAAAAATATAGAAACAAAATTTTCTTAAAAACAGTTCTCTTAACCTCTCTGCATGGGTACCTTTAATTACCCAGCCATACCTGGCACAGGAGCATTTCCAAAGGATTTAACTAATTGCACCTGTTCGTGCCTGCAAACAATAACCCAAGAGGTGAGAGGGAAGGATGCTCAGACGGCAACTGTGCATTTCCCCCACTATATTTTCTGCCACTAGTAACATAGTTATAGCACTTTCAGATGAGTTGCAGACCCACAAACATTGACGCAATTGATGCTCCTGCCAAGTGCAAGTTGCGAAAAGTAATTCGATTTCTTCAAGCAGAAGGGAAAGCTGCAGTGCAGGTGAAATCCATTGAAGGATGAGCCGAGTATACCTTGTTAACTTTGCAAAGGATGGTGTATGAAAGGCCGAACCGATGTTCACGAAGGGGAGTCAAGGAACCAAGTCTATTGCATCAGAAGACCTTGTTCAACCAATTGATAAAATGGTTCACGAAAAACAGTTTTAAGGGAGTTGAGTGTGAAATTTCCTGAAGTTTCAAGTCCAACTGTGTACCCAGAACACCTACACCATTCAAAAAAGAAGAGGCATACTAACTTCTGGAATTCCCTCTGATTCATGACATTGCCCACCCTCCCTGCCCCGCTGTGGCCCAATGACTTCCTGGACAATTCGGTGGCAAGTTTTTGAACATTCAGCATATAACCCTGATTTAGCACCAAGCGCTCTCTATCTCTTTCCTTAACTGAAAAGTGGCTGGGAGGACAGATCTTCCAGAGAATAGAATATCAACACATCATCAAGGACCGTCTCAATTCATTGGCAGCAACATTCTATGCAGAGTGGTGTGGAAAACCCATCTATAGATCTGTCAAATGTCTGGTTCTTCACAGAGATTATGTCAAAAAGGAACCGCATTTGTTATCTATTAATTTTCTTATGTCTTGTCTTGTGTCTCGTTTTTATGAGGTATTGAGAAGAAAAAAAAGAAAAGAAAGAAAGAAAAAAATAAAATAAATAAAAGGGGACAATTCCAAGAAAAGCTTGAACTTCCTAACATTGCAGATCTTCAAAAATTGTTTAATCAGATCTCATATGCATCTTTTGCTGCAGAGATTATTTCACAAAATGGCCAACGAACTAGTAGGATACAATTTGCAATATTATAATATGCCTCTTATCAATATTAAGCGAAAATATCCTGTGTTGTAACACCACTATGCTTTTTCAAACGAAAAAACTATGAAAGTTACTTCTTGAGTGAAGAAAGAACATTAATGTTGTCCAAGGTTAAAACTCATTAACACAATCCTCAAGGAAAAAAGATACTCCGCAAAACTAATGAACTATACCTGAAATTTGCCAGCATCAAGAGTAGCAGACATAATAACTAATTTTAAATCAAATCTCTGCTTTATCACTTCCTTTAGCACACCCATAAGGATATCTGTAGCTAGAGTTCTTTCATGAGCTTCGTCAAGCAAAATGACTTGGTAATTCTCCAGCATTGGATCAGACATGCCTTCTCGAAGCAACATACCATCAGTCATGTACCTAAAAAATTAAATAACATGTGTTAATTATAAATTTAAAATTCAATAATTGTGGAAAACATTCTAAGATGATACTTACTTGAGTAGAGTTTTGGGTGAAGAACAATCTTCAAACCTAATGCTGTATCCGACTTCTTGTCCTAAACACACATCCATTTCTTCCGAAACTCTCTGAGCCACTGACATGGCTGCCACTCGACGAGGTTGTGTGCAAGCAACACCTCTTTTTCCTTTTGATCGTGAAAATTCCACACACCTATCAAACAAAAACAAAAGTAACATACAAGAACTCTAATACCTTTTTTCCCTCACTTTTCGAGGCACAAGAATTAAATTAACATAAGTGTCATTATGAAGTCAATTGAAGTTACATTATGAAGTCAGTGAAAGTAATACATCAAAATTGGTAGAAGACATGAGATGAGATAATACAACAAAATAAACAAGGGAAAAAAACAAGCAAGATCATCAGAAAACAACTCAATTAAAAGTCCATTTGCTGGAAAATGGAAGTGTGAAAACCTTATCCAAGTCAAGATTAGGCGGCGGCGATGGTGTAATGGTTAGCGTACTGGACTGTCGGTTAGGTTACGGTTAGCGTACTACCAAGTTGGCGGGTTCAAACCCGATCGAAGCCATGGATTTTTAAGGGCGAAAAAATCCTTTGTACGCCTTCCTTCGGAGGGGAAGTAAAGCCGGCTGTCCCATGTTCGTAGATTTACTTGCATGTAAAAGATCCTCAAGCCTAAATGACGCCTCTGAGTTAAATTCAAATCGCCTGTTTCTCACCCATGAAATACCTCCTTTCTCTCCTAGTTGGTGAAAGGAGCGTAGTGAAATTTGCAGTGTCAGACAGAAGAGCGGGCCTGATGGCCCGAGTCTCGCCACGTAAAATAACGCAAATTCAATTCAATTCAAAAAGATTAAGGATAAAACTAAGAATGGAGGAGAAAGAAGAGATTATAGAGGAAAGCTGGAAAAACAAAGACAATTCTTAACGTAGCCTAGAAACTAGTTACAAAAAGAACACTAGTAGTGCTACAGAACACTAGTAATGCTACTTTCTCATAATAGTTTCCTATTTTCTTTCATTTGGCCTAGCAATTCTGACTTGTCACATACTCTTGCCAGCTGCTATGTATTGTTGCCGAAAGTACTTTTTTTAACGTTCTAATTTTTTTAGTTTTTGAATAGTAGAACTGAAATACTACTTCAAGAATATTAAAGAAGAGTAAAATCTTGTCCTAAATAGTAATATTCATTGAAAAATTTGGGGCCATATCTAAAAAAATTATGTTTAAGCTACACTGTATATGCAAAATGAAACAATTAGAAAAAACTGAAAACAGGAAACTTAGCAGAACCAATCAAAAATTATCCATGGAAATGGAGAAAACACGCAAATAATAGACAAATTTCTATCACAGATGGCTTTAAACTATAGAGCAAAGAGGGCGCCAGCAAGAACACTTCACTACAGAAAGAAATACTGCTTTACTACCATCTAACAGGACAGGAGCACTGCTCCTAAACGGAGGGTGTTAATGATGATGTCGACAATAATATATATTCAACTTTATATAGCTTTGCAAGAAACGATAAAAGCACGTCAATTAATCAGCAAACAATTCTGAGCCAATAAAGTGTCAGAAATAACCAATTAAAAGTTGTGTGCAGTCCACTGGATGCCAGGTCTGAAAGGATTAATATCAATGAAACCGGCCTCCTCTTTGGTGTCATCACTAGCAAAACATTGGTGATCAAAGGAGACAGATTCATGGAGGCTGTGGCTTAGTTTTGTTGGGTGCCAATGCTTATGGTTCCAAAAAAACCTTACTGCATTAAGAACATGCAGTCCCTGCTTATTACATATGATGCAAATAGAAAAGTAATAATGACCAATTTATTCCAACAATTAATTGCTCTTTATACAATAATGGGGGACAAGAATCTTAAGATACTACTTTTTATTGTTCAGTGCCCTGCCCATCCAGTTGATGCGCAGATGGCAAACTTCCAGTTAGAATTCCTGCCAGCTAACTTTATTATTACATTGCAGCCACTGGATTTAGGGATTATTCATACAATCAAATTGCTGTACAGGAAGAACTACAGAGTAGGTACAGAGTGCTAAGTATGAAGGATGCAGGCAAAGATCCGCCGTCCTACAAGGTGTCTGTTCTTTGTGCCCTTCATTTCATTGCAAAGACATAGAAGGGTATCAACCAAACTACAAAAGCAAACTGCTTTCTCAAAGGCAAGGTTCTTGACTTGCGAAAAAAGCCAGCATGTATAAGAGGATGATGATGAAACCCTGCATCCAACAACATAGGACATTTTGCAACCAGACTATACCAGGGATGAATTCTGGTTATGGTGATGATTCTGTTGTTACAGCAGAGTAAAAGTAATCGGAAGACTGTGGCCAAGTGACCCGGGAGAGTGATGAAATGAACAAATCATTTAGTGTACAGAAGAGTGTTGAGGCAAGTACAGTAGAAGACATGTCTAATGTTGATGGTAATGAAAAATCTTTTGATTAACTGTATGAACTGAAAAGCCAACATAGGGAATTGGATGTAAATTTTTTTTTTTTTTTCCATTCTTTTTTTATTTACTCTAAATTCATTCCAAAATTAATATCTTCAGAAAAATGTTCATGATCTGATTTAAAGATTATTAATAAACATTTTAACAAGGAAAAACAATCTTCAATATTAAACCGAAGTCAGCAAAAAAAATTTTTGCAAAATACTTTTGCAATTTTTGAAAATTCAGATAATTCAACAAAAAAATTGATTGACCATTTATAAGCACACTTTAGTCTATTACAGGGCACAATGTAAAGAAGCAAATTGGAGCCTTTTTTGACAAAATTTTGAAAATATAGGGGGCTTGAATGAAGAACCCCTAAAATAAAAATATCAGCTTAAATTCAAGGAGCCATGACATCGGCCAGATCATTTTGGGGCACATCAATTTTGGTGCAAATCCTGCCAGCGGTTTAGGCCTTTTGATGTTGTTCACAGACATGGAGAGAGACGAATGGTGACAAAACAAGGATTCTGGCTAAATTCAAAATTAGGGGTTCAACTTATATTCAGGTGAACACAATAAAGAACCTTCAGCACAATTTGCAGTCAGGTAATAAAATACAACCTTATTCTCTAAGAGCTACATCTTACCATTGTGGAATTTGGGTTGTCTTCCCAGACCCAGTTTCTCCTACTAGTACTATACACTGATTTTCATCTAACAGTTGCATGAATTGAGTCCGATACTCCCATACTGGCAATGTGATTCGTTTTCTTAAGAATTCTTGATATCTAAAAAAAAAAAAACAAGTCATTAGTTTATTGTATGAAATAACTCTGTACATTATTTACATCAATACTCAACAAACCTTGGAGTATATGGTAATCCAGTAAATGGATTGATTTGCAGTTTTGGTGGTGGATACGATGATAAAGGTGTACCAAGTGGTGATATCTTGGTTAAGGAATCACTGAAAAATCACAAATAACAATGAAGATATTCTTACCACAACCAAAATGTAAATAAACTGATATGAGGCAATGTCTTACTTAGATTTGGTATTATCCTTTTCCGCATCACGGTCGATACTGAAAAACAAATCAAAATAAACATGGGTGAACTTCAAAATCAAATTCCAATAATACATCGCTTTCAACCCCTTTACGTACAACGGTAATATCAAAAAATTAAACTAATGTAGAATTTAAAAAAAATACACACACACATGCACACAACAGAATTGTCTCCAACACAAAAATACGATTTGCGTGAATGTGCTGCTCATTAGTACAGCTAGTTCGAAATAGATGTGAACACAAGACTATGGGCGAATTACTGTTTAAGCATCAGGCACGAATACGTACGATAAGTGAAAAACGTAACTCGCTGGGCAGAATGAATTACTTAATGAATAATTCATCATAATGAATTACGAGAGATGCCAATCACATACAACACCGCAAAAACAATACACAACTATTACTCTTCATGCTCACCAATACGGTGACAGTCAAAAATGTTAATACAAACAATAGCCAACACAACAATTCAAATGATAAATCCAAACTACACGTGACAATTAGCTCTGTGGATAAAGCAAGACTGCCTCAAAAGTAACAACAAACATTTCATAGTACATCTTACCTTCTTTTCTTCACGTACGGATCGACGACTTCAATTCGACGCTTCGACATTTCTGCAGAACTTAAATACACTCTGGCAAATACAATATACAAATCATATAAAATATAAATTACGAAAAACTGAAGATCCCACTCCACTCAATAATATGGCTAAACGTGTGCGGTTCGTTCGCACTGCTGGTGTCGGTGCTGTGTATTCTTCCGTTTCCCCACCACTTTTCTAAAGCGGTAGTGACGTTAGACGACGATATCAAACTCCTGTTGTAAATTAAATTATTCAAGTATTCGATCTTAAAGTGTTTAGATAATTGCGAAATTTCGACGAATTAGTAATTCAAGATAAAGGTAATTCATAAAAATTTATTGGCAAAAAATCGCAATTCATTGGGTAGTAAATAAAGTATGTCTTTATTATGGAGTTTAATTTATACCATCATTTGCTCTCTACAACATTAAAAAAGTATATTATATTGCAGTTTTGTATTGAAGGCAAGTTGGGAATAAAACACATTAAAAAGTAATGAAACAAATTCAATTTTCGAATATAATTAAGTATATAATTCCACCGGACTATTTTTGTATTCCGTAGTGTACAAGTTGTATTTATTGCTTCTAGAGGGCGAAAGCGAGACTCGATCTACAAAAGGCGGTCATACGAACGAGGAAAATTATTAGAAACGAAATACGTGTTTCTTGTCCTCGTAACCTAGCTACTACGTTATTAATACTTAAAGAGCTTACACTGTAAAATGTTTTGCAAATAAAAATAGATTATTTAGAAGAATACATGAGCGTGGTTGCATTCTGTGTAATCGTTTTGATACAATTAAATAGAATCAATTCACCAAAACGATTCATTTATGTAATAAATTATTCTAGAACAGTGTTTAATAATGAAATTAGTTTTAGTAGTTAATTATTGTAATGTATATCAAATGCAAATATGCTAGAGTTTTGCCTTCTTTCCGGTGCTCAATTCACAAATTTTTATTTTTTATAATCAAATTCATTGTTAAGAACGACCACAGGGTTATTTACATTTATACCCGTATTTCAATTGCGTTCCATAGTCCCACAAAACCCCGTGGTAATCTTCATAAGTTTTAAAACGTAAATATAAGGAAGATCAAGCATTGTAGTATCACTAGAAAGAAAATGATTGGTTCATGTATCAGTCGTCGGATCAAGAAGGGGTATATTGTTACAAGTACCAGTAAGGTTCCCATGGAGATGGGCAGGGGCAAGGGCCCACAATGTTTCAAGCTTCACTGAATTTTAACAATGTTATATTAATATGAAATGTTACACACGTTTTACATTCTCGCACTTATTCCCAAGAAGAGATAGTATTGTAATAGTGCGCCAGAAAACGGATAATTTTCGAGAGAAAATCTCTTATTGCCGGGCCCTGGTAACGAAAAACGTGATGAATATCTTTCATATATATAGTTAATTACTTCATGCAACACTCTGTGTAGTCGTTGGGTAGTTAGTCAAATCTATGTTTTGTGAGTCCTTGGTACCAAGAAGTCGATTGACGGCAAAACGTCTGTCCATCTGTCTGTCCGTGGCCATAGCGTCTAAACCGTTCTGCCAATTTTCTCCAAAATTGATATTTCTCGATTGACTTAAATGAATTCGGAGCTCTAAGTTTGAAATGGAAATTTTGATATTGGTGGGTACTTTATATAAAATCTCAAAATTTTCAATTTCCCCCCTTTTCCCCCCACAAATGGCTTCAATTTGTTTTCATTAAACTTTGTCCTCAGCGTAAAGAACGTTTGAGAGAGTAAGTGTCTTGTTTGTTGAAAACCGATTTTTTCGAATATTGCAACAACAAAAAAATATTTTTTTCGGCGTCTTTCTACAACTACAATATTCAAAATCGAGATTTTTTTTCGAAATGAAATATGTTCTTTAAAGACAGATCTTAAAATAAAGCTATGTACAAATTTTCGATAATATGACCTGCTTAGGTGGCTCAGGGCATCAAGTTATGTCACTGCAGAGCCTCGGAACGGGAGATCCTAGGGTACTGGACCCGACGGTGGCAAGATTTTCGACACTAGCTAGATCGAATTCAGCCACAGATTAGGTCTGGCGGCCGGCTGCTCTGATCGGTAGTCTTTGTGGTTTCTCCGATCAACACTAGGGAATGTCGGATCATATCTTAACGGGCCACGGACAGTGCGCGATCTTTCCTTCGTCTTTATAGTCCTACCCTCCCTTACTTACACACACTTACACTTACATGCACCACACTTCCACACATGCCGCGAGACCAGCCGGGGCTAGCTTGCTCCGGCTGGGGCGGTGCCCCGCTGATGGGAGATACCTGGTTGAGGAAAATCTCGCAAGCCTGCGGGTAAGTCTGCATCGAATCTCGCCATCCAGCAGAACATCACCGTCACCTCTTGCCACAAAAAACACACGCACTGTACTTACGAGACTAATGATTTTTGCAGTTGATGTGCCGAAACCACTAATTTCAAATTTTTCTTTCTATTTTCTCTTTGTATGTATCAAAGATCGGTAAACAATATTGTGCTGTCTCGTTTCTGGCAATCTCTCTGCATCTTCGAAAGTTGTAAAAGGTTAACATTTTAAAACCACAAAGTTGAAGACAGATTTTTGCACTAAACAAAATCTGTTCCAAAAAGGCAGTTTGTTAAAAAAGGTTAGGCACATTTTTTTTTGAGAGAACAAACTAGTTTTCGCGTTTTGCTTGAAATTGAAGTGAGTGAGTGAGTGAGTGAATAACTGACTGACTAACTGAATGAATGAATGAATGAATGAATGAATGAATGAATGAATGAATGAATGAATAAATAAATATATAAATAAATAAATAAATAAATAAATAAATAAATAAATAAATAAATAAATAAATAAATAAATAAATTACAAGGGGGCAAGCCAGCGCACATTATCGTCGTGCCCCCTGGGGCCTTCCTTGCGGATGAAAACGAACCTCTGTGAAGATCAACGGGTCAAGGAATGGAAGTGGATCGGTTCTTGTCGCGGAAGAATCTTTAGCAATAAGCCCCTCCCTAGGGTTACATGTGAAGAGATATTACTCTTAGAGCACGTGCAGCGTGTTAAAAGTTCAATTCTTGGCACTAGTGTTAAAAGTGTGACGATGCTCAAATTTTCACAGAAAACTGTGAATGCAACAAAGAAAACAAAATACTTTCGTCTGATCAGCTACAACTGATCATAATGCAACATGGTACCTAATTAAGTCATTAAACGTGAATTAAAATTAAAGGAAAGGCTGTCTAAAAAATATACAATGAATCATGAAGTAAAAGTGATTTTATATTGCACGTAGGATTCGGCCGGTGTCGTACCCTTCTCGCAAAATAAAAGGTCACATTACCACTTGGATCATAAGTATCAACTATTTCAATTTTTCAAAACACCGTTGCGAAGTTTTCAATTAAAATGTACGCATAGAACCGGGTTTACTGCTTTAAAATATTAAAATCATATTTAATTTTACTATCAAGGGATCGAGAAATTGAGAATATGTTGTAAAAAACGTTTGAACGAAATGTTATGTTCCACATTATTTTATTTTGTAGATTGAATTAATTTTGAGAAAATTGGCACTACCGAGTTCGACGTTGATATTGCACACACTGCGCACAATAATGCACACTGTGACCCACGCGTGTCGTGTAATATTGATAATTAACTTGCAACTTGGAAAGAATAAGGTACGACAAACATTAAATACTAATCAAATAACTGTACAAATTATAATAAAATTATGAGACGCATTGGGCCCTTGAGATTCATTGTCCAATCGGTTGCACCCTCTTTCCTTGCGCATGGCCAGGAAAGGAGCTCTCTGTAGCATGATTAGGCTACTTTGCTGGGGCGCAGCTGGGGCCCAGCTTTTTTTTTCTAGGCTGGTGCACGGCACTGGAATCCCAGAAAACAAAGGCCTCCAAATGGGTCACCCGCGCATCCTTAATAAAGCTGGTAGAGACAATGATGGACCCCATTTGGACTTTTCTGGGTCTCTGAGGGCTGTCTACCGGGTCCCCCAAGAAAGAATATTCGCTTGTGGTACTCTGAAATGTAAATTTCTTCTTGACTCAACGTCCGTTCAATCTAAATGAAAATTTGGAATGTAAAGACCCACTCTAACCCCTAAAAAATAGTGTACCTGGACCCACCATTTTGTAATTCCTCTTGTACTCCTCCACAACCCACCACTGCCCGGCCCTCACCCAATTTACGCGTACGACAAGAAACTATTATTTATTGGCACGTACGGATTTGATAAGAAAATTGTCGAATCTGCATTCAACTATTTAACTCAACTGACATAATTTACCTACACTTAATGTTAAAATAAAAATGCTTTTACGAGCAAGAATGAAAAATGAAGTAAAGGGACACCTTTTATTATTATTTTTATTTTGTTATTTATGGTCGCATCACATCTAGGTCATTAGCGACCTTTATTGTATTTAACGATATGGTAACTGTGAAGATGACGGGGGGTGAAGGGACGATCACAAATACAACCATGCCCGAGGCGGGACGTGAACCCGCGATCCTAGATCGCTACGGCACTACTCCCTTAACGACCTCCGCCGTCCGGACCGACACCTTTTATTGGTAACATACTATATTACGTAATCTGACAATTTTATACACAGACCAGATATGAGATGCAGATGCAGGTTTTTACATTCTTGTTTCCTCGATCGAGAAGGAAAAGTTACACAAAACAATATTAGTAGGCATACAGCAAAATTTAAATGAAGAAAGTTTTCGAGTTTATTTTAATGAACAGAAAATCCGCAAAACATCATAAGCATGCTTAAAACACAGTATGCGTCCATTGCACTTGCCAAAGTACCGGGCGATTCAATCTTTGGAATATCCCAACTTACTTCCTCATCATTCCGTCGAGAACATTTACCCGATGGGGACTTAATGTTTCTCTGAATTATCAAGCACGTCATTAGAATTGACTCGTTTACACTAGGAAAATAATAGCTTTGGTTTCAGGCTGACAAAGGGGTTTCACAGATTCACAATGAACACGTTTCTATTATTTATTTTTCTGTCAGTTTGTAACGTACGCACTGGAATGGTTGACGAAGATATTCGGGCTCCAATTGACGGTGAGCAGTCTTTTATGTTTTTTGCCCGAACACGATTATAGAGGAGTTACTTTAAGAATGGACTACTTTGTCAGGTCGGTAAACAAATGAACGTCATGTAGGGCGATGACATTGCAAGGGATAGTGATAAAGCCATTTACAAATGAGCTATTTGTAAACGAAAGCACTGGCAAAATGAGTGCATGGACGTAACTTGCAGTTATATTGTCACAAATGGCCACGCAGTAGCTGTCAAAGCGGTCCCTTCGTATAGCAATCTTCCTATACCCATTCTCTAAAAACCAAAAAGTAGTACGTACTGTAGTGGATATTGCCACTTGACGTAGTTACTATTTTCTTACATATTGGAGGTGCTGCAACCAAATTTTGATTATATTTCTTGTTTTATCACGAACGTCATTTACGAGGGCGGACTTCTGCCAGGACAAACTAGGCAGCCACCTAGGGGCCCAACCTGAGAGGAGGCATCAGATGGTTTATAATAGGGATCCCAATAAAATTTCGAAAAAAAAAAAAAAGTTTTTAGTTCATAAATATGAAAGGCAATTTTTAATTGTTTACTAGTCCTACAGCTTTTTTAAATATATTTATTTAATTCATATTTTAAAATACCCCAATTATTGGAGTATTAATTGTGAATGAGATAAAATTATAAAACGGAATTATATGTCAAGTAATTTGCTTACACCAGACAAGACAATGTAGTGTATGGAAAGAATCACCTTTCACCAAGATACCCACGTTCTGCATTATCTCCCATGACATGCGAATACGATTTCTCAAGTGTGATTTTTGTTTGATTTTGTTTTATTTTTTGTTCCAATACTAAAAAAGGAAGGTTCCCCATTTTTTTTATTGCTTAGGGGCCCTAGGTCTTGAAGTCTAGACCTGGTTATTTAATGTAGTGTATATGTGTACACCATTCCTGTACAAGCCATAACATTTTAACTACACATGTCTTTTTTTTCAATAATCCTCACTTTCAAAAACAATTCTTCTAATTGACATACATGTATTATTTTGTGTATATAATCCGGGAAGCTGCCAGCACAAGATACCTATTTGTACTAAAGACATTGCAACTGTTTCAGGATGGCCCACTTGTGAGCTAGGAGGAAGATATGATTTAGTTCACCATGAATATTGTGACAGATATTTCACATGTCACCATGGTGAATCATATTTGAGACAATGTGAAGATGGACTAGGCTTTGTTCCTTTCAGCGGATGTAAGCTACTGCATTTGGTGAACTGCTCAGGAAGGGAAAAATTACGTAAGAAAAGTTGTTGTTGATATACTACAATCACGCCTTAAAGGGTTTCAAACAGATTTTGTAAAAGTTATCAAGGTTCAATTAGAGGAAGGTTTTGAAGGGTCCATTTACAGAGAAAAATGTTTTCTGGTTTCTAAATTTCTAGTTTGATATGCAATTCTTTTTTGTTTCCATTCTTAAATGTCTTCTTGATAAATTATAACCTGTCCCATGGAATTAATCCACGGATAGATTGGTCGTGACGGTAGTTCCGGGCGCGTCATCTAATAGGGTCATTAATCCCGTAAGTGTATTGCATGTTTTTTCCTCGGGAGGTGGCGGTGATCTTACCCCGCTGAATAGATCCGGGACCGACTTACAGCCAGCTAGCGATGGCTTCCCCGACCAAGTTACTTCCACCAGCGTTGCACCGCCCCAGCCGGGACAAGCTCTAAGATCCCGAACGGTGGCCCGGCGTGTGTGGCAGTGTAGAGCATGTGAGTGAAAGTGTGTGTAAGGACACGGAAGAGGTAGGAAAGATCGCGCGTGGTCCGTTTGAAAGCGTACTGCTCCGTCATTCGCCTGATGTTGATCGGAGAAACTACGGTAAACTTCCGATCAGAGCAACCGGCCGCTAGAATTCTCCTTCAGACAGCTACTGAATTCAACCTAGCTGACATGCTAGTGTCGAAAATCCAGGGATTCGAAACTAGGATCTCACAATCAGAGGGACTACAGTGAAATCAATTGATGCCCTGAGCCATGACTCCCGGTTTGGAATTCGTCTTCATGAGGGATTACTGTATATGCAATGTACAGCAATTGTCTGACACAAGTGTCCCTTTACAAACACTTTTCAGTAGTTATAAGTGATGCATTAAGTTTTAAATTAAAATTGATAGCAGGTTATCCTACAATAGTCCACTACAACATACATGAACAGATCATTCTATATTTAAAAAGTTCTGTCCTTTTTTCTGTGGAACTTGAATAACGGCTAGTCTCAAAACCTCTTATTGCTAAACCCTGAATTGACATTGAAATAACCTATACATAAACAATATTTTAATTATATTTTAGAAGCTGCAAAGGACAGTGGAGATTGTCCTCGTTTGTACGGCATACATGCTCACCCAAAAGGTTGCAGTTACTATCTACAGTGTTATAATGGCACAGCTTCAACTCAAAGTTGTGCAAATGATCTAATATTTGATACAGACAAGAAAATTTGTCGCCCACCAAGACCATTAGAAAGGCAGACATGCATTATTCCTTCCAACTCTCAACCATCAGGTAGGAATTAGAAAGCGAAAATATTTTTGAAGTACCATTACAAGTAAATATAATTTACATATCCCAGGCGAATTCTAACCAATAGTTTAATGAAAAACAGAAGTGAAAACATGTTTAACTCTACTTTTGGGGTTTATTAAATCATAATCTCAAAACAATAATTGTTGAAATAGTTATAACAAAGCATTTGGAACTTAAAAGTATGTTTCCTAACTACAATTTTTTAAAATATCAGGCAGTTCTACATTTATTTGATATGCTGTGTTAGGAGACTTTGAAAACATCTTCTCTGACAAACTTTATGACTTCGCTACAAATTATAATATTATGTGAAATTATATTGTATTTAATTACTTTGTAAATGTGATATCATTTTTAAAAATTGTATCTTTATGTTTATTATGGCAGAATTTCATTGTCCAGTGGAGAATTTATTTCCCTTTGGAGACCATTCACGTCACCCTCACCCAGTGAACTGTGCATTTTTCATAATGTGTCTTCGTGATGGCTCACAGAAGATTGGAAGTTGTGAACCTGGAAAAGCATTTAGCATAATATCTCAAAATTGTGTACCAGTGGAAAAAATATCCAATTGTAAATTGTAACTCAAGTTTATTTTCAGAGAAGAATATTCAGGGGTTTTTATGTATTTTATTTTACATCAAAATATGTAACAATGTTGTACAAGTTGTACAATGCAGCGATACACAAGATAAATTACATTTTGTTCAAACCAAAGAAACAGTACTTGTCTTTAATATTTTATAAGAGGAAGAAAAAAGAAGAAATTTTTTGCTAAAAGGATGTGCATTATACTAAAATTTACAGTTTATGCTACATTACAATAATGAGTAATGAATCTGAGTGTTTTGAACTGAACTTTTAGTGCAGAGGCTGAGATACTGAATGATATACTTGGAATACAGTAATTAGTATATCTTAAACAAATATTGCTTCTGGTTATGCTGAAAAAAAAACAGGAAAAAATCAGCAACACTTGAACAAATTACTATTTTTTTAAGAAACAATGAGAGGTGATGAATAAAAATTTTCTTTCGTAGTTACAAGATTGAGAAAAAAAATGTTTTTACATGTAAAAATCAAATATTTCTGGGCTACCTACAGGTAAAAATATTAGCGAGCTAATTTAAAGCCACATTAGCAATAGTCAATTTTTTAAATATTGTAATCAAAGAAAACTTAAAAGAGAAAAATGCAGTTTTTAAAATGAACCTTGTTACCAACTGCTGCTATAATAAACCCCATTAATAGAAACATAGATATTTGTTTCTTTTTCATGTGTGGAAACTCTATTAAGTGGGAAAGGCTAATATAAGTTCATGTACCTTCACGTAAAGGTATATTTCATTATTCATTTTCTTCATTTGCTGTCATTTTTTGATAGCGATGTCAATTACTTTTCTTCATAATTCATTCTCAAAAAATTACCTCTATTACTGACATGTCATCTGCCCCACAGATAGAGAACAAATTAACTCCAATATCACCATGATAGTGAAAAGCTAATTAAAAAGTTCACAATGCATTTACATTCTTACACCTAGACATATTCCAATTAAAATATGAATGGAATTGATGTTTCCTCAGCTGAGATGTGTTTGTCCAATGAGGAGCTTCAATTTACAAAAAACAATTCATAATGATTTAAATAAATAAATGATGATTTCATTGGACAACTGTGTTCCAGCAGTTCAAACGTTAATTGCACCTACATTTTAATCAGAGAATAATATCATGATGCTAATACATGAAATAGCTTGATAGAAATAGCTGGCATGTTTGTCAATACAAAAAAGAGGTAATTTCCTCTTTTCACAATTATTATTGCGAATTGTTATTCTAGAGAAGATTTTCTGTAAATGACAGTCTCTTCTTAAGAAATCTTTGTCACAGGCAAAGGCATATACTCTCTGGCCACAGGTGCTTGAATGTAAAACTCAAAGGAGCTTGAGGATAAAGCCTGGCTCACTACATGGGAAAATTTGTCAAACACACTTCCGACTTATTTGTGAAAAAAAAAATATAGGTAGAATAGAATAGAATAGAAAAAAAAAACAATAGGTAGAAAATTCATATAGGTGGGTCTTTTGTTCAACAAGAAAATGCCCAAAAAGTATGATTTAGGACTTGGGAAATTCAATGAAGTCACTTATAACTGGTTCCCACTGTACTTGCTAATTTTGGCAATGTATTTCTTTTTAATATTATTTTTTTACTACCACTGAATTATTTCATTAACCTATCAAAAATTTGTATTGAAATAAAAAAAATAATTATATATCGTCTAATAATCTACAAAACGAAGCTTTCTAACCATTAGATTTCTGCGAAATTAATTATGGAGAAAGTATGCTTTGATTGTGGAATGAAACATTCAAATTTTTTTAACACATTTTCTATAATTTTTCACAAATAAGTAGAAAACTACAAAAATTCAAAGACTTGTAAGATTAAAAATTACTTTATTTACCATATTGTTTTATACAGGATAAACGATTTACTAGTATTTACATTCTTGAATATTTTAAAATACAAATTGTAAGACATATTACTGTCTTCAATCATTCAAGAATATTTTTACTTTATGGTAATGGCTGCAACTTAGGCACTGTAGCCCTGATCTCTGAATACTGGTATTATCAATTCTCATGAACACTTGAGTACTTTCACACACATTTTATGGAGAACATAAGTACTTCCATAAACTAATTAGCTATGTACACCTTTCTTCATACAATTTTATGTACAGAAACAAAAATTTCGTTCTATACTCACATTAATAAATAAGGTAAGTTACTCCTCATTTACAATGGGCACAGATGTGATTTTTCAATGATTGCTCATGATAATCTTTGAGTTTATACACTGCATTCACTTCCACCTATAAATTTGGGTTCATGAGCATGACTAAATTCATCATATTTTTTTCATATGCTTTAAAGTGACAGCATTACATTGAGTTCATGTGCACCAACAATTATACATAACATACAGTTAATTCCAGAAACTTATCAAGTGTAAATATGTCTAAAGAATCAAAACAAAAAGTATTCAATCTCGTTGATGAAACAAAAGGATTTGGAAAGTCAATTAACAGATCTACATACACAAGATTCTTTATGAATGTAACGTTAAACAACACATGCAATACATGATCAGAACATTAGTTCAAAATTTTGTAAAATGATAAGTGTATTTTGAAACATTACTTGCAGAACCAACATGGAAAAAGAGCTTTTAGATACAAAGAGTTGAACATTCCAAATAGAACACCTGCATAATATTGAAATCTTAACTTTTAAACCAAGATTAAAATGGAAATACTTGAAATCCGTTTCCACAGTAAATCCAATAAAAAATTGCAGCAGTAAAAGAAGGCTAATTTCCTGGAACTTGAAGATATGTAATGCATAATGAAAAACTAATGCAATTAATGAAATAATATATGAAAGAATTCAATTTATTAAATAAACTTGCTTTAAATCATAAATAAAAACTTCTCACAATCACTTTCTAACATCTCTTCTGCATTGTTCACAACCGAGATTATTCAGCATTGAACATTTGGGTGTAGGGCAGTCGAGATCTTTTCCAGCCCCACAAATCTTTTGATATCATTAATGCTGTATTTAAATCAAATCCATATGTACAAACTGCCTGAGCTTTGGCAGAAAGAACTTCTTCATCGCCTTCATCTTCCTCCTTTTGCATTCCCTCATATTCTCTCATAAAGCAGTAAGGAGGAAGGTAGCTTTTGTGAGCTATCATACTATCCTCTTCAGTCCACCCTTTATTAAGGCAATAATAAAGCTGGGAAATGCCATCAACATCGTGGACTTCTATCCTTGAGCCAACCAGCATCAGAAGTGAACTGAATTCTACAACATCTTTTCCTTGAGGACAAATTGGCAGCTTCTCAAAAGCACTGCGCATAAAATTGCAGTAAATCTGTGTGAGATATTCAATTTCTTTCCTATCAAAGGTTTCAGGGACATTTTGAGATGGAATATCAATAAAATTCCATTTAAAAATGTACTTTTGATCACCAAAAACTACAGCAACATTGTTGTTTTCCCTGTTGCTTCCATATAATACTGTCCCGTTTTCATTTTTTGTCACATTACTTCCATTATGTCGAAGACTCTTATTGTTTTCTAGTTTCAGCTTTAATGTTTTCTGTAATACAGCAGCATATGTTTGTGGTTTTGTATCAGTTTCACCCTCAAGTTTCAATCTCTGAGAATCTTCATCAGAAAATGAGAAAATTCTTTCTTGATCTAGGAATTCCGGAGACTCCTTTGCACTTAATCCATTTCTTATTTTTGACTCATTAGTTATAGGCTTTCCAAGTTCAGGCCAATGAAGGGAGTCATAATTGTTCAAAATTTCTTCTTCACCATTTTCCCTTTCTTGATAAAATGTAGAATTATTTTGTGAAGCAAAGTCACAAAATACTCCTTCATCAACATCAAAAGCATTGGGAGCAAATGGGGTAAGTTGGTCATTCTCTAACGAGTAACTCATGGAATGAGTTGCTAGATCTGCCATTGTTTTAATAAATATAATCAGAAAAATTGAAATTCTTGTTCTCTTCTTCTAGCACCAATTCAAGAAATCCTAACAACTTCAAAGTTTTGGATAATTACAAAACTGTGGCAATATCACATTAAGTTTTTTTGAGTCCTTGAAAATTATTCACAAAAAATTGTTTCTAAGATTACGCTGAAATAAGATTTCTGCAATCTTCATCTGAACACTGAGAATGCTGCAAAAAAAGAGAGAAAAGAATTGTATTAAAGATGCCAAGAAACTTTAACACATTAACCCCCTCCTCCCCAAAATGAAAAGTACTAAAAATATTTTTACAAAACATTATATTCCAGCACATGCATTAGTACATCAGCAAATACATGTACGAACAAATAATTTATCTGAATAACTGTGTGGATGAAATTCAGTAAGAATTTAACTGTCTTGAGAAATAATGCTTCTAAATTACATTACACAGTCTTTCAACAGGAAAAAATATCCATTTCTTCAAATAAAAGATTATAAGGCACCTACAAGAATGAAATATAAATATTAATCATGCAAATGAGGAACATGAAAAAACAGATTTGAAAATATTAATAAAAGATGACAGTTATTTTCTCAAAAGTCTTTAACTTCATAACTAACAGAAAAACTAGTTCTAGTAATGTATTTTTGTGAGAATAGATCAAAACACTACACAACTTTATTTTCTTTCAAGTAAATGAAAACTTTTCGTCAAAATATTAAACATTTTTATTATGAGCCTCAATTAAGGGGCAAAACCCCTGCCATGGTTGTAATTTTGATATCAAAGTTATTTTGTATGCTTCTAATATTTTCACTTTTTAGTAAGAAGCTCATTTTGCAAAATTCCTGAAGTGTTGTTAAAAGCAAAGTATATTTTTCTTAAATCTAAAGTAATTAATGAAGGATTTCAAGAGATACTATGAAATATTATGTAAGGTACAATGTTGGATTTGACTTGTATTTGTTGTAACAAAATTTCACACAATTACTTTTTTTACTTGTGTACATATGAGTAATATAAATAATGTGTTTGCCAGTATAACATTACCTACTGCAGGACTAGGAATAAGAAAGAAAGAAAGAAAATGTCAAGTTTAGAACATTTACCAAATTTATTCAGAATTTTATACACAAATGTTTTTTTTATTTGATAAAGTAAATCTTTGAAAATGTTTCTTCTAATAATAAATTATTTTTTTCACAAAATCAACTTAAATATAATATTTGCTGTAGATTTACCACTAATTTCTTCTAAAAAAATCACATCATATATTTTATTAAGAGCCTGACTTCATGCACTTAATACAATAATCTAATAGTTCATAGTTTTGTGTCAGTCCTCATTAAAATTTATTTTAAATTAATGAAACTGGTTACTGATTTTCATTTTTCTACTTCTCATCAAAACATCAATCAGATTCAAATATATACTTTTTCTGATAAAAATAGTCATATGAGTAGCTACGTTTCATTCCTTTCTACAAGATATGAAGATTTGATTAAAAAACAACAACATTATTTTGCAATGAAACAGCTATGAAATTAATGAGAATAATAAATATATTTGTTTAGTTAAGAAACAGTTTCATTGCTGAGAGTACTCGTCAGTTTAAAATTCTGAAAAAAGGCATTTCAATCTTGCCTCGGCGTACAGCGTAATAAAGAAATAATTTTTCAAAAACGAACTTCGGAGGAACCGTTTACCGACAATACAAGAAACGCGAACTACAAATAGCTCAAAGTACCTGTAAACGGTGATTGTACATAAAATTAGTTTTTAATTTGATCAATCTAGTAAGCTTCTTATTCTTACCTTTAACAACCACTCTATTTGATAACAATAGGGATTTCTTTCGTTTGCACGGCGGTCTAGCAGAGGGACTATGTATCAACAGTTAAAGCGTGACAGTACCAGAAATTTCACGAAGAATACATGGCCAATCACTCAGAATTAACTTTCTGTAATCTTATTTCTTTTTATATCAGCTGTTTAAAAAGAGGCAAGTCGCCCTTTGTTGGGCATTCGTTCAAGACATGATGAAAATATTTACTTTCTAAAACGAATGAATATTTCGTCATTATTTTCAGGGATTCTGGAACGCTGTTTTTGCTTACATAATCCAAAGACAAAAATGAAAACACCAATGAATATTTAAAAAATGTTCGGTTCTACGCTTTTGTTCAACCGTTGGATCGGCGAAACGAGAAAAACGGACACTTTTTTGATGGCAAATTTGATTGCGAAGTTCTTCACTCACTAAGAACTTATTCTTCCTGATTTGTAGTTTCATAATAACAATTTAGATCTTCACAACCACATGACGTTATTTAAATCTAGTATTTCACAAGGTGGGTGACTAACCAAAATTAGTTTTAGTGACATTTCCCAATACAGCAATTCAAAACAATAAGATTAAGATGAAAAGAAATACACTTGCGATTTGATTGTTCTTCACTTTGAAATTATTTTTGAAGTACAAGTTCATCTACACGAATCCTGACAATTTTTATTTTCAAACATGAATACTAAATGTAGCACCACCAACGAAAAAATAAACAAAAACAAAACATAAGTCTCAATAATAAAATGTCTTCATTACGAAACTGGATGACATGAACTACAACCACTTTACTAAAAACAAAATTTTAATTCACAAAGAGAATAATCTCAAACTCAAGATTTCTGTTCAACTGTGTTATTTCAAAATACGAACCAGGAAAAGAATCGTTCAGTAAACCTTAGTGCGAACCTCCACAATTCGAAAAGTTATTTTATTTTTAAGAGAAATATAGGCGTTAATAAATATATTATTTTCAAGTTTTGGGGCGGCGTCTCATTTCAAAATTTTATGAAGGATTTAAAGATATTCAAATCATGACATTCTTGCCGGAATCGTAACAATTTAAGAGACATTCTGTTTAATCTAACGAAAACAGGAATAAGACAGGACCAACAACATTGGAAGAAACGCAAAGAGGAAATTGCAAAAATACGTACACCTGTACTGAACATTAAAGAAAATGCGCCGCACACTTCAAACTGACTCAACCTCTATTCAGTCAGTTCGACAGTCCAAATACATTTCATGATACTAAATCCATTAGACATTGGAACGTGCAAATATTTGGAATAATTTTAGATTTCTGACTGCAAATGGTCTGGTCTATTTATTTTAATAATAAAATTAGAAGTACTACTAAATCATTAATCTAAACGGTGAAACCCATGGTGAACATCTGGCAACCCCGTGGTAATAGTGAAGAAAATATAGTTTTGGATTTACTGTGCCAAGATTCTTTTCTACAGTCTGATGCAATTCGCTGTAAGTGAACTTGTATTTTAAACCATTGGTTTCGTCTTGATATCGGCCCATTTTAATTAAGGTATCTACAGCAGATATTGAACCAATTAATTCAGTTCCGTCGATCGTTAACTTTCCGCATGAAACAATAAAGTAAGACTTCGTGAACAAAACCCCCAAAAATACATGCAAAGGAAAACCCTCCCTCCAAATTTGCGTTAAAGGGGAATAAACCTCAATATTAAATACCCTAATCTGGCGTTGCGAAAATTACTGTTCCATGCCAACTGGGAATCCACAAGTGACAGATGTCAGTGATTTTGAGCGATCAAAAAAGATGCTGAAAATTTTACCTAAATTAGATACTGAATATTCTCATGATATACATGATGTAAAAAAATATCGATTTTCTTTCTATCACTAGACATAACTATTACTGAAGACGGTTTGGAAATAAGAGAGAGAACAAAGTGATAATTTAGTGATGGCAAATTTGACAAAAACATCGATATTTCGATCGATACATCACCAAAGAGTAAGTTTTTACACCTCGAAGTGTTACAGCAATTGACAACACTATCGATATTCTGCGCATGCGCAATTTGAGTTTCGCGTAACTTTTGCGCATTAAAACGGGGTATGACTAGAAGAGCGATTGTGTAGTCGATTGCTGTAGCGCTTCGAGGTGCAAAACTTCCTATGAGTTTCGATGATGAAAAATAGAAAAAAATGGGAAAAAAATCGACATAAAACATCGATTGTCTTAAATTTGACTGTCACCTTAATTTTCTAATCAATACTATGTATATACTGTACAAACACTGTACACTTGCGTATATTGTACGTACAGGTATCCTACAGGCCACCTACACATAACTTTTAAACGGCTCTCGATATTACAGTTTGAAGTGCAGTTTTCGCTCAAAAATGAGTGTGTGTGTGTGTGTGTATATATATATATATACACACACACACACACACACATATACAGCATATTACTTACTCCATGATTACTCATTTTTGAGCGAAAACTGCACTTCAAACTTTAATATCGAGATTTTTAATATCTTTAATATATATAAATAATGCCATCTCCCCCGAAGGCAACAGTTGCGTGGGCTGCTACAGGAAATATTGTCAGTTTAATCAGGCGCGGATCCACAGGGGGGATTCCCCCTCCTCAAAAAATTCAGTAACTTCGTTTTAACTTTTCACAAATTTTTAAGTAACCAGTGCTGCTAAAACATCACGTACTTTTTCGCCCGTACTTTCACGTAGAATTGCGCGAAAAGAACTGAAATTTTCGAAAAATTGTACATGACCTTATTTCAAAATCTATCTTTAAGGAACAGATTTCATTATGGGGGAAAATCTCTTTCTTTAATATTTTAGTTGTAGGAAGACACCGAAAGTTTTGTTGAGTCTTTGAAATTTTCCTAATATCAGGGGCCGTGACACCAGCCAGATCGCGTGGGGAATATCAATTTTGGAGAAATTTGGCTGAACGGCGTAGCCGCTAGCATTGTTCACAGATGGACAGACACACGTTTTGCAGTCATTTGTTTTTTCGGTTTTAGGGACCCACCAAACATAGATTCGGGCTACAAAACGAGTAAGAGGATTCTACGTTTAGTAACTGTCTATTAACTTTTTCGTTACCAGGGCTCTGTAATGAGAGTTTTTCTGCCCAAATTTCGTGTTTTTTCGCGCAGAATTACATAACTTTCTCTGTACTGCGTAAAAATATTTTGGGATAATCATTCAAATTAATAAAATCGTATCGCAGCTGGAGCTGAGTTAAGCCTGCGTTATTCTACCTAATCCGCAATAAGGTACACTCGACAAAAACATTTTGAATAAAAAACTATCTTAATGCACCGATCACACTCGACTCGCAATCAAG